GGCCAGCGCCGCGCCCGCCCGCCGAGGCCCGGCCAGGGGTAGGCGGCCCCTTCCCCACGGCGCTGCTGCTCCGAGGTCACAGAGGTCAGCCCCTGGGAAGCAGGTGCAGGCCGCCCCGGGGAGCAGTCCTCACTGCCCCCCACTGCTCGTTCCCAGCAGAGCTCTGCCCCCGCCGGCCCGCAAGGGTCCCGGGTCCAACCCGCCACCTGACCTCGGAGCCAGGTGGGCTGGGCTCCTGCTGCGGCCGCCGGGGCCGGGCCAGAGTCACAGGCGCCGAGCCCAGGCCCTCAGGAAAGAATGCAGCAAACACATTCGCGTTTATTTTTGTAAGCAAACGACCAGTCGTGTACACCTAAGCTTGACATCACATCGTTAAACAATCGTCAAAACGCAGTAGCCAGCGTCCATGCACAACTAGAAACGTCCTCGGTGCAGAGTGGCCAGACACGTGTCGCCGTGAGCGTGGCACCGTCTCCGCACGGGGCGCCGCCCGCCCGCCACGCGGGAAGCAGGCCCGTGCCGGGGTCAGCGTACGCAAGAGTCACGGCCACTTTGGATCACGTTTAATAAAAAAGCAAAGTGCATACAGAGATTTACAACAATTTCAGAGACAAAAAAAAATGGTCCTATCGTGTGGTCCCGACAGCGAGCTCAGAGTCTGTGCGGGCGCGAGCCGCCCTGGCCGCGGGCCGGCGCGGGCGTCCAGTCCTCCGGCTCCGGTCTCCCGAGCGGGCGGGCGGCGCTGCGGCCGCCTGTGCGCGGGCTACTTGCTATCCAAGCGAAGCAGCTGCTCCTTACCATTTATCGTCAGGGACTTGAGCTGGCCGTCTTCCTCCACCTCCACGCGCTCCTGACCGTTCTCCACGATCCTGCGGGCAAAGCCCCTTGAGGAGCGGACCCGGGCCGGCGCGGCGCCCCACCGCCCGGCTGCAGGCCTCAGGGACCCGCCCGCTCTGCTGCCCACGTCCGCGGGGCCCTCTCACCCCCCCCCAAGGACAGCGCCGACAGGGGTCGCCCCCAGTCGCGGGCGGGGACACGTGGGGCCCAGCTGGGGCGCGCGGCGGCACCTCTTCGTGGTGATCTTCCGGCCGTTCACGATCTTGGTGGACGTCGAGATAGACTTGAAGGAGCCCATCCCGCTGCCGCCGAAGGACGTGGACGAGAAGGCCGTGAGGCCCCCGTGACCCAGGGAGCCGAAGGGGGTGAAGCCTGCGGGGCACAGACGCCATCAGGCCGCCCGCGGGCGGGGCCACAGACGCCATCAGGCCGCCCGCGGGCGGGGCCACACACACCAAGCGGCCCAA